GCAAAACAACCTAAATTAAGAATTTAATATCAAAAAAGGTAACTATTCATGAGCAAATTAAAAAAAAAAAACAAAAGGATACGTCCAGAATTGCACGAAATAACGTGATCTAACCAAATTTTTTTTTTTGCTCCATTACTTATGATCGCCACTGTATATGTCGTAGGTAGGAACAGAATTTAAGCTGTTCTGAATTTTTAAGGTTAGGGTTGGAATTTTTAGTATAATTAGGATTCCGAACTCTATTATGATTCCATTCCCACAACATATATAAGGTTAATATACGGTAATTATGTCGTAAGTGGGAATAGAATTTAAGTTGATTCGGTTAAGGTTAGGGTTGGGATTTTAGTATCATTATTCCGTTCTAATCTAAGTGGATTCTGAACCTTATTATGGTTTCATTCCATCCACTTACAAACAATATTATACGGTAAAATAACCTGGTATTTATACCAAAATTTATTATACCGTACGTATAAAATTTCCAACCCTATTTACAGAGATGTACCAATCAAATCTTTTCATACGATCGAATCTATCAGATCTCATCAAAATAATTACATATGCCAATAATAAAAAAATTATATTAAGTAGGAATTAAGACTTAGTTTACACCAAAGTTTCGCAAGGAATTTTGTTAGAATAGTTTCATAAACACAATTTTGTTACAATTTTGTTACAATTTTGTTACAATTTGAAGTTACTGGAGTTTCTTCAAAAAGCGTGATTGTCACGTTACACATCCGAAAAGATTTGATTGGTTCATCTTTCGCGGTCCTACTAGGGTACCTATAAAAATATATTAATAAATTACCAATATATAGCAAAGATCATTTTTTACGAATAGATTTATTACTTTCAAAATCATTGCATATATGCTTAATTAATAATGTTACATCAAAATTATATGCTAATTATATGCTAATTATATGCTAATGACAAAATTTGTAATTCATTTTAGCATTAATAATAAGGGGTAAACCGTTTTGTGTACTACATGCGTATATGTATAAAAATAATTGTTCAATTTTATTCTTTTACCTTTAAAGGCAAAAAAAATGACCAACCTTTATATCCCATCGTCACTAACGAACGATTGTCTTGAGGAAATAATTCAACATTTAGTGGATCATCGTTCATCATTATTTTCATGCTTATTAGTAAATAGGTTATGGTGCAAACTAGCGATAGGATTACTTTGGAGTAGACCATTTGAATATCATATTAATGTTAAAAGGTTTTCCATGATCATTCAAACTTATATTTCATGTCTTCCCATCGCTGAAAAACAAATGCTTAAATCTAAAAACAAGAGAATTTTACCGGATATACATACAAAAAGACAATTTCTTAATATAATAGATAAGAGAAAATCATATAGATTATTATTTAATTATCCAAAATATTTACGAAAATTAGATTTATCAAATTTTCAAAATGGAGTAAAGCAATATCTTACCACAGTCAACATTGAAAGTTATCAATTGATAGCTTTTACGGTTCAAATATTATTAAACTTTTTAATTCAATCCACTGATATTCTTCATCATTTAGTAATAAATAATCCTATAATGCGTTTATTCTTTGACATTACTTTATTTCCCAATCTTGAGAATATAAATCAAAAATTTTCATCACTTTCCAAAATAGATTTATTTCTTCAAAGAAAAGATGCACCGGAAACTCATCAAGGGTATATAAAACTCGTTGCTCACTTATCCGAATATTCCAAGAATTTAAATCAAATTTCTATTGTCAATAATTTTCAAGACTGTCAACTTGAAGTTTTAAGGCATATTTTTAGATTAATCGAAAATCAAAGGTATCTTGAAGAAATTACAATTTGGGAATTTCAAAATCCATCAACATTTCAATGGATTTATACTGCTTTAAAAACACACTCACGTTCACTAAAATATCTTGGAATTAAAAGGTTTAGAAATTTCAATATTTTCTTAGATTTTTTAAAATCTTGTAAATCTTTAAAATCGTTAGAAATCTTAGATTTTTTTGTTGAAGAAGGATACACTCCTTTATATACCTCTACAAATACAGAAGAAATAAAACTAGAAAAATTTTCATGCTGTGAAAATTATTCAAAATCTTCGGTGTTTAGTTTAACAATGACAATAATTATTCGTTTGGCAAATAAGAATTTAAGAGAACTCATATTAGGAGATTCTACCGATGAATTAATAGAAGAAATTCAACATAATTGTCCAAATATTATAAAACTTTCTTTAACTTTATATACAACTTCATTTGAAACACTTCTTCCTTTATTGGCTTCTTCAAAACTTGAATTTCTTTATTTAGAATCGAAATATGATAGTTCTGCATTAACACCTGTCTTTATGCAAAAATTGGCAACTTCACTTCCAAAAACTCTATTACATTTGGGAATGGATCTTGGAATTGTCAATGAAGGATTACAAATATTTTTTGAAGAATATGGAAATTGTGGTGTTGCTTTATATACGATCGAGTTATATAATTATTTATTGGATGATAGAGTTTTAAAAGCTATCACAAAATATGCTCGACAAGTTGGAGGTTTAAGAAGGTTAAAGATCAGTGAAGTAAATACTAATATTTCGGAAAAAGGTTTATTAGAAGCAAAAGATGTTATTTCGAGTGTTGTGTTATTGTAATCATTTGAGTATGAGATAAATATTTATTTTTATAATTCTGTAAAAACTTTTAATATGTTTGAATTTTTTTTTTTCATTGTATTATTGACATTTACATTTTAATTTTTTTTTTTTAAAGATATATAACCAATATTGTTCGTTTTTCATTCATTCATTTGATTGTTCAATCTAATTTTGTCACACAATAAAATAATTACATACAGGTACATATAAAATAACGACTTTTACAATTTTAATCCCAAATTTTAAAATGTCGGGGCTTTCCTTCAATTTATTAAAAATTACTGATCCACGATTTCGATTTGGTAGAATAAATTTTTCGACAAATAAACATGAAAAAATCTTGGATACACCAAATTGTTTCGTATCTACAATCCGAGGATCGGTACCACATTTAACACCAGATAATTTACAAACTATTCCGGCAGATGTACTGGGGATCACTCTTGAGCATTTGTATATATCAACCTTTTTTTTTTTCCCTCTTTGTGAAAATAAAGAAATTTCATAATATTTATTTCAACTTTAAAAATTTTAGCCTTGAAGTACAACCTCCACCTTCAACACATTTTGTGGGTGGAATACATAAATTTTTGAATCTTGAAGAGTATTTGTTGTTTTTTGATGTTCGAGACTCGGAAAAATTACATGATATTGCGTTCAATACTGATAAATATGTTTCAGTTGTTACTAATCAAGGATGTCGTAAAGTAAGAATTTTTTTGAAAATCAATTTATTTAATTAATAACAAATAACAAATAACAATTAACAAATAACAATTAACAAATAACAATTAACAAATAACAATTAACAAATAATAAATAACAAATAACAAATGACAAATAACAAATAACAAATTATGATAATTTTTTTCCAAGGTTACTCCGGAGGAATATATAAAATATATGAATATATATAATCCTGATATATTCGCTAGCATGGCGGATTTAATAACTTTCAAGAATCCAGGTTTGAAAAGGGTTAAAAAATCCGTCGATAGAACATTAAATTGGCTAGACGAAACTTTGGAACAAACCAAGGTATAAATCATTATAAATCATTATAAATCATTATAAATCATATAAATCACTCGTTTTTATATACATATTAATATAAAAATTAAATGGCTAATGACGTACGTGGTAATAATTAAAGGAAGGGATTCAAGTATTTGGAGTTGTAACTGGACATGATAAACATGAAGAGCGAGTAAGATCCGCTAGGGAAACAGCAAAGAGAAATGTAGCCGGTGAGTAACATCTATATCAATTAATTAATAATAATTATTAATAATAATTTTTTGCATTAATATCCTTTCATTAATATCCTTTCTGATGATATATATAGGCTTTGTCCTAAATGGGTTTGATCCAGATATGACATCAAAAGAACGTTTGGATTTAATGAAAGTTTCGCTCAAACACCTACCCAAAAATAAGCCTCGTGTAGCATGTGGTCTCGGAGCTCCAGGTATTATTAATAACAGGATTTTCAAATTCATTAATAGTACATAATAGTACATAATTCATTAATTATTTTAATTTCTTTTAGAATATGTTCTTCTTGGCATTTTCGAGGGAGTTGATATATTTAATACAAGTTATCCATCAGATATGACATCTTTAGGACATGCTCTTACGTTTTGGTTAATTGACGATGGGATTCGAAATGGACAAGAAAAATTCATAGATCTTTGGAATGATAAATATCGAACAGATTTTAAACCAATTTTAGATGGATGTAAATGTTATGCATGTCAAAATCATACAAGAGCATATATTCATCATTTATTAAAAACTCATGAAATGCTTGCTACCGTATTATTAATGAGGTTTGTAAATTCATGTTTAATTAAATGATTTTAATTAAATGATTTTTAAAAAATATGTTTTAACAAAATATTTTATTTTCTATTTAATAGTCACAATTTATTCCATTATTTACAATTCTTTACAAATATTAGAAAATCTATGAAACTTAATACATTTACAAATACTGCTATGCAGTTTATTAAGATGTATGGCATTGATGATAATGATGCCAGTAACCCATAGATTCTCTCAAAAAACGAATAAAAATGGAAAAATACCGTAGTGCTGGTGAATGGATTTTTTTTTTAATTAATTAATTTATTTATCGTCTTCAACACTTAAAAATGTCAGATTGATGGGGGTCTCAATTTGGTTCCATTACATCTACTAAAAACCACATACCGGTATACTCTTTGATTAACAATTCTAACCCTAAATTCTAGTCCAATTATTAAAAAAAAGTACCCCAAAAAATTATAAAAATTTGTATTAAAATAGGCCCCAAAATCAGCATCAACCGTTATCGAATTAGAGTTTGGTCTAAATAATAACTTTAATTAAAAATTTAATCTTTGGCACCAAACTTTAATTTATCTTTGAAATTTGATGATAAATGATAAATGAATTGACCGAAAAAGTATGAATTGCTCTTATATTGCCAAAGGAAAAACCACTTATTTGAGCAAATTTAACGGATTTATAGTTTACTAGTCAAATGCACAGCATTGTATGTCCGGAGTCAATATTTAATATATACACTAATATATACTATTATATTTAATATCAATACAGTAATATAAGTTGATTACGTATCTATTCTGTTTTTGTCGATCAGTTGAATTTGATTGGTTGAATATCACATGATGCGGCCGGACAAACTGACAACCCATTTTTTTTCACTTTGCATAGACATATAGCGTCCTCCGCTTCGCTCCGGACAATAATCAAAAAATTTTAGGTATGAAAT